CACACACACACACACACATATATATAATGCTGATATAAATGAATCCTAACAAATATTCCTTCCACTCTGGCAAATACCTTTGCATTAATTATTACATTATTGTAACTGCAATTTCTCACCAAATCCTAGGGAGTACTGACATTTTGTGTAATAATAATCTCTATGGATCAGATAGAGGATCCCCCATGACCACTATCTGACTTTTTCTATCCTTCTATTTTCTTACTAGATGACAAAGACATAAAAATGACTTGCCAGTCAAGTATAAAAGTCACTTAGTTGAAGAGAATTATCCAAAATTTGGAGATAAGAGAAAAGACAGTATAATGTGAGTTTTCACTGACAAACTGGAGTATTGTTTAACAAGGCCAACCAGAGTTTATTTCTGAGTTTGACTTGTTATCGTCTGTTTGGATATATTCCAGACAGTGTGAAGTGACGTATTAACTTGTTTATTTTTGTTTTGTAGAAATGGTAACAGCAAAAAAAGGTTATGGGTGTCTTGCTATATAAGACATTTACCAGTTTTGTATTTATCTGATGCAGCAATCTCACTCTTTCCTTAAAAAACAAAAAACAAAACAGTTCCCTAAATATCATACTCACTCCTCATTTGTATAAGAGAGATGTTCAAGGTAGTGGTGGAGATGGGTAATAAAAGTAAATAAATAAATTAATAAATTATTCTACAAAAATAATACTACAAATTTGGATTATAACAGATGCTATAAGGAAAAAGTGCAGAATCATAAGAAAAAGCTCACTCATGAGCCATGGAATATCTTTTCTGGTGAGGAGATCTTTGAACTGAAGCTTGCATTGTAAGAAGAAAGTAGCCCAATTAGTCTTCAGGAAAGAGGGACATGCCAGCCAGAGAGAGCTGCAAATACAAATGTGCTCTATCAAGAACAAATCTGGCAACTTAAAGGAAAAGAAAGGCTAGCGCATTTGGAGAGTAATGACTGAGAGAAAAATGGCAGGGTTAGATTTGGAGATTACATCACATGAAATCTTGAAGATAATGGTACATTTACTCTAAATTCAATGAAAAGGCTAAGGGATTTTGTACAAGCACATGGCACAATCTCTATAGTGCTGTGCTTAGTCACTCAGTCATGCCTGACTATGCAACCCCACGGGCTGTAGCCCGCCAGGCTCCTCTGTCCATGGGATTCTCCAGGCAAGAATACTGGAGGGGGCTGCCATGCCCTCCTCCAACGTCTTCAGAATCCCGGATCAAACCCAGGTCTCCTGCAGTGCAGGCAGATTCTTTACCATCTGACCCATCAGGGAAGCCCAAGAATACTGGTGTGGGTAGTCCATCCCTTCTCCAGAGGATTATGCCCTTTAGGAATCAAGCTGGTGTTTTCTGTGTCGCATGTGGATTCTTTACCAGCAGAGACACTAAGGAAACCCATAATCTGTTTCACATTAAGATAAAGTTGTTTTTTTTTGTTTTTTCTTTTTTGGTTTAGTGTTGCTAGATTTAGCAAATAAAAATACAGAACATAATATATCTCATGACATATTTGGGACATATTTATACTGAAAATACGTTCTTGTTCATCTCTTTCAAATTTAACTGGTTGTCTTTTATCTGGTGGCTTATACTGCTGCTTTGTGAAATACACATGGAAAAACAACGGTAAAATCACGAGCACTTTGAAGACCAGAAAGATAATCCCATGTGAGAACAGGCAGCAAAAGTAGCATTGACTTGGAGATAGCGGTGGATATAAACAGAAGAGGAGAGAGTCTAGAAACAGTTTGTAAACGGAGCTGAAAGGACTTATTGATCATCTACGCCCATGTTATTCAACTGAGACCAAAAAAAAAAAAAAAGGAAATAAAGAGAATTCCAAGAATTAGTCCTGATAAATAAGAAAATCACTGGACAATGTGAATGTTGTTCTACATGATTTTGATTATTTCATAACTTCCTCAGGGCTTATTTTTTCACAAAATGCACAATTGAACATTGATATTTTAATCTCTTGCATTTAGGTACTGATCTTATACTGATGGATTTTTTCAATAAAATAACACTGCTTAGCCCACAGTGGGATTTATATCCCTGATAACAGAATGGTGAAGGGCTATCCTGGGCTTCCCAAGTGGAGCTAGTGGTGAAGAACCCACCTGCCAATGCAGGAGACGTAAGGGACAGAAGTTCAATACCTGGTTCAAAGACCCCCCTGAAGGAGAACATGGCAACCCACTCCAGTGTTCTTGCTTGGAGAATCCCCACAGACAGAGGAGCCTAGTGGGCAATTCCATAGGATCGCAAAGAATCAGACACTCCTGAAGTGACTGAACAAGTCCGTGCAAGAATGCAGAGACCCAAGTAACTGGAAAGCAGGATCAGGGAGTCCTTCTAGACCTTGTCAATGAAAATAACAATATATAATTTACAATCTATACTGGGAATAGAAAAGAGTTTTTTTGAACCAAATTGAGGACTATAATCCAGATTATTCTGATAGACTGCTGTGGAGAAGCATGTTTTTCAGTGCAGTTTTATATCTTGTTGGAACAAAGAACATTACACCAGTCAGGATGTCAAGATTTAACGAACAAACAAACATTAGACCTGTACATGCACAGCATGGCCTTGGCACCTAGGTGGGGCATCTTATCAAAGGGTCAGCATCGGCATCCCAGGAAGGAAGGCACTGAATCTTTATTTTTAACATGGGTATATTTTACTTCTGGTCAGTATGCCTTTTCTTAATATTAAAGCAGATGTACAATGGATTTTTAATAGGTCATAAACAGGCATGATATTCAAGGTAACTCATGTATAAGCCAAATGATTGTCCCATAACATCAATATGTGATCATTTCTTTTATCACCCACAAAAACCATGAAACTTGGCCACAGGTAAAAATGAAGTCCTTCAAAAACTGTAGAAGCAAGGTAACCCCAGATTTAGAGGGGGAGCTGTCCATGGTTCAGAATCCATGCCAGAGGCCATAAAGGGAGCCAGCTCAGGGAGCAGGTGAGTGAGGCCCAAGGCGGCTCTGTGCCTCTCTTGAGCCTGGGCAGAGGAGGGCACAGATGGAGGCTGGCGCCCTGCGTGTCTGACCACTGTACATAGATGCAAAGCATGCTTGCACATTGATGAGCAGACGTTCTCTGTCATGCTGCTCATCAGAGATACATTCTCAGTGACAAAATTAAGTAATGTCTATTAAGCTACAGTTTTTAGGATTGAAAATGGCTAAAATATAAAAGAATGACTGGATGGTAGCCAAATCCCAGATCCTTAACTGACAATGACTGAATGAGCGATAATTAAATTAAAGACATTCATAAATCATATTATTTATTTTTACTCCACAGGATTTATTTTCTTGTCCTCATTTCAACAAACTCACCAATGCTATAATTAGTGTCAAAATGTTCACCTAATTTCTGTGATATCATCAGCAATGATTTTAAGAATTTAAAATCTAAGTGTAATTGTATTTAAAGTGAAAAGTCAGAATATAACTCCATAAGGGTAAAATGAAATGGAAAAATAATATTTTTAGAAATATTTTCACATTATTCAAGTTATAGATATCATAAAATATGAAAAATTATCTAGTAAAACTAAAATGCAGGTTGTTTCTGGCTAAGATGGAATAAGAGGGGCTAGATGAACTGTCCTATCTGAAGCAAAAAGAAAAAATACATTTAAAACACAGGTTTTAAAGGCACTGGATGTTGGACAAGACCAGCCAGTGATCCCTGGGAGGGGAACACTGACTGAAGCAACCCAGCAGTGTCTGTCTGGCTCACCACCAACACAATAGAAAGGGGAGGGCTTGGTGGACAAGCAGGGCCCAGAGAACCAGGCTGAATTCTGCTACCCTGATGGGGAGAATAGAGTTTCACAGAGAGACTGCCCGCAGTTCAGAAAATCACCGTCTCCTATGAAGCTGCACCATGAGCAAACTACCTAGGGTCCTGGCAAGTCTCCTCCAAGAGGATGAGAGGTAATCGGATGTGGTGCTCACAAAAATCCAAGAAGGGCGCCTTTTCCCAGTGACCAGACTGGGAAACCTCATGGTTTCTGGGGCACTGGATGAGGGGACTATATTTCACATAAGGAAACTTAAGAAGCAGATCAATATGGTGTTCTTGATGATGGTTCTGTGTTCATAAACATATATATATATATATATATATATATATATACATATTATATATATATATATATATATATATATATATATACATATATATATGGAAACTGTTCAGATTGTACACCAGAATATGTGCAGTTATTGTATGGCAATGATACCTCACATTTTGCCTTAAAAATTCAAAGGTGAATACATATTATCTATGTATAAATTATAATCAAAATATTTAAATAATGCTTCAATTTATTTAGTTTTTTAAAACAACCAAAGGTTAGGAAATTCCCTGGCAGTCTAGTGATTAGAACTCTGTGCTTTCACTAACAAGTTTCAGTCCCTAGTGGGAGAACTAAAATCCTTTGAGCTGTGTGGAGAGGCCAAAAAAATAAAATTGAAAAGAATGACTATAAGAAAAAAAAATCAAACATTGGAAGTGATTTTATCAGTAAAACTATTGCATACATCCAGTTGTCAATGAGGATCATCAGTTTCATGGTTCACTCACATGACCTCTAAGTTCACACATAAATGGGAATTGGGAGAAAATGTAGTGGATTTAACTTTCATGATTCTCTGCAGCCCTGAGTAATAGTGTGAATCCACACTATTGCTGGTCACCTCCAGAACTCCAAACTGGACCAGGGAAAGCAGCAGAAAATGGACTCTCCACGGTCTGGATAAGAAAGCTGCATGTTGCAAGGAGCTGTGGTCAGTGGTCAGCGGATTTGTGGGAGGAATCTCAGCAAGGTCACCAACAGCCCTTCCTCTAGGTTCTTCCCATTCCATAGGCTTCCCTTCTTTTGGAGTCTGTCATCTCCATCAGCAGCCTCAAGGCCTTCCAATGTGTCACCTAGCATTTCTTTCTTTCTTTCTTTTTGAGGGTCAAGATCTTTATTTCCTGATTTAAAAAATTGTCCCCATCACAGACTCCCTAGGTTCTCTTGTACCTTTGTCCCATTGGCTCCTGACAGGGGCTCTGCACAGCTCTTTTCTTCCCGCTGCCCACCCATCAACCTGAGTTTGACAGACCAATTCGATTTGTCCTTCCAACCTGTGGGAGCAAGGATTGGAATCTTCTGGCAGGTGGAGAGTTCCTCAGTAGCCAGTGTTTAAGCTGAATCCATCACTATCTAGTTCTACTTGCTCTTAGCTTTTGGGGCTTTGGCACCAGTATGCTCTGGGCATGAGCAAGTTGCTTTATAGAAGCCAGAATGAGGGGTCCAGGCAGTGCCAGCCACAAGGCATTCAAGAAGACAAAGTAAAACCAGAAGTCGAGTGGGTGTCCCAGCTCCCCGTGCTGGAATCCATTATGGTACTCTGTCAGGAAACAGAGCACATGTCCATATACCTAACCCACAGAGACCACAAGCTTTAGGCCAAAGTGGGGGGGTTGCTGGTGGAGAGAAGCTGAGTGGTCCTCACAGGTAAGCCGTGATGGTCTCCATGCATATCATGCAGTTATCATTCAGGACATATTGGCTGTCTCCCTTGGGATACTCTTTCCAAAGTTAAGATAAGAAGGTTTGGTCTCCGAAAGGTAAGTATGGCAGAGGCTGAACCAGCCCTCAAGTGAATGAACCCACATAGTGCAAACCAGCACAGTCTCTGCCAAGTCCCCAGCAGGACGACCACAGCACAGCCTCACAACCGCCACGCAGTCACAACTGAGACTCCAGAGACAGAAGGGGCCAGCCAGGATCTGCTTCGGGTGGGGAAGGGGGCAGTCATCAGTCACAGAGCTGTCCAGCCTCAGGCCCAGAGGCCAGAATGGGTGTGTGGGGCTGGTGGTCATGTCTTTGTAGACCTGCAACCAACCTACAAGAAAACCTATTTTTTTAATTGAAGTGCAGTTGATTTACAGTGTTATATTAGTTTCAGGAGTGAGGCAGAGTGACTCAGATTCTCTTACATTATAGATTATTACAAGATGCTGAGTAGAGTTCACTGTGTTACACAGTAGGGTCTTGTTGTTTATCAATTTTATGTACAGTAGTGGGTATATGTTAATCTCAACCACCTAATTTATCCTTCTCCTTCTTCCCCCCTTTGGTAACAACAAGCTTTCTATGTCTGTGAGTCTGTTGCAGTTTTGTATATAAGTTAATCTGTGTCACTTTAAAAATTCCACATATAAATAATATCATATGATATTCATCTTTCTTCATCTGGCTTACTTCACCTTGTGTGATAATCTGTAGGTCCATCCATGTTCCTGCAAATGGAACATGCAAATGTCCCTGCATTCTTTTATATGGCTGAGTAAATTTGAAGGAAAACTACAATTGAAAAAGATATACACCCCAGTGTTCATTGCAGCACTATTTATGATAGTCAATGTCCATCAAGTGATGAATGAATAAAGGTGTGGGCTATCTGTCTTCTAACTATATGTCACCTTGTATTTCAAAGAAGCAGGGACAGAACCTTGGCAAAGCCTTTCCCTGAAGCTATGACACTGCTGAAAGAGAGAGCCTATTGAGAGGTGGGTCTCCTGAGCTGGACTCAGTGAAGCACACAAGTGTGTACTTCGGTGAACTTATTTTGGGAATGTTTATAATAAGAGAAACACATAAGGCACTGCTCTCGGGGCAGAGCCCCTCTTGCTGGGCAGACAGAAAGGTTAGATTGACAATTCTGAGACAGTCTTCACTCAGGCAGAAGACAAATTTTCCCAGAGTTAAGATGGAACTCCATAGCAGACCTAGATCCACTTATGGATAATGGATATTTCCAACAGAAAGAGAAGGGGGAAGGCAAATAGGCAGAATTTTCCTAGTAGCACATGATCCTGGTCTTCTTAGGACACTCTGACCTCAGCATGAAGATGGTTATATTCTAGCTCATTAATTAAAATTACCAAAGTAATGTTTTTCTTTTGAAAAGTGATTTCACAGAGGGTACAAGTGTACATGGTACCATTAACAAAGATATCCTGAGAGCTGTTTCCTGATTACAGAAATCCATTTCTGGACCATCAAAGGAATGCAATTATGCAGATTTATGTAAATACTATATGCAAATCACCTTCTAAATAAAGTGTGGGAGGGATAGAGCAAGCCCTGATCTGTGACTTGTCAATCTAAAGCTGTTTAGTGGGAAAGGATGCTAACAAAATCTGAGTGATGGAAGATAAACCTTACTTCTTCCATTTATTTTGGAAATAATTGGATTTGGGTAAGATAAGTAGTCATTCAAGCTAACAAGGTTGCAATGCTCTCCTGGTTATCTTGAACACTAAGCAATACTGGTTTTTCTGGTACAGCAGCAGCCAACTCTATACAGCACTTAGCCTTTGGGCATAACTTTGGAATAGTATTCATACATCTTCCAAGCTTCCTCTACCAGATACTGGCCATGACAGCCCTGCAGCCTTGCTTGATCCTCCTGGGGTCTCAGCTTTCCCATCTGTATCATCCAAGAGAGGGGGTAATGGTGTATGGAGCAGCAGATTGAGGCCTCGTATCACACCAAGTGACCTTACCTGTTGGTTATAAAGGCATATGTAAGAATCAAAACTAAATAAATGTAACATATGAGCAAATGTCCTTGCTGATCATCAGAACCTTTGAGGAAATCTTCACAAATATGAAACAGAATTGGAATGAAGGGGGAAAAGAAGCAAAAGAAAACTGAGACACAAATCCCAAACTGAGTTCTCAAAACTCATGAGGAACTGACACACAGATAGGAGAGGAGAGGAGATGAGGAGGGCTTGTCTCTTCTCCCATCAGTCAGCTGAGCCAATCACGCTGTGTCTTCCTTCTCCTGCACTGGGTCTTCCCAATGTCTGGATTCCTTCCAGATCAATCTGTACATCGAAGGGGAGTGGCCAACCTTGGGAGTTATGAGTGATGTGCTGAAAACTAGACTCACCTCCAAGAGGTTCCAGCCTTCCATCAGACATGAGAGACTAAAAACCATCAAAGACAGAACCCTCCATTCAAGAGGGATGCATCCAGAGTCACCCCCCTCTGCTCTAAGGGCAACAATGTTGCTGGGAAATGAGGTATCCAGTATGTAAGTGAGTACTGAGTAGTATTTCATTAATAAATATGAATCAACAGTTAAGGAACATTAAGTGTGTGAAGACAAGACCCTCAAGAGATGGGCCTACAGACCATAGAGGAAGCAAAGATAATTAGAGTTTCTACGACAGTTTAAGCATGTTTTGATTGAAGTGAAGCGAAGTCACTCAGTTGCATCCAACTCTTTGCAACCCCATGGACTGTAGCCTACCAGGCTCCTCCGTCCATGGGATTTTCCAGGCAAGAGTACTAGAGTGGGTTGCCATTTCCTTCTCCAGAGGATCTTCCTGACCCAGGGATTTGATTAGTATCCTAATAATCCCCAATTTCTAAACTACCTATGGCACTGGCTCTCAGACAGGGTGATCTTGCTATCTCCCACTGCTCCCCTCAAAGATATTTGGCAACTTTAAGGTGCATTTTTTTCCTATTGGTCTCTAGTGGGTAGAAGTCAGGGAATCCTGTTCTCTACAGGTTTATGTGTGTGGTACGTACTCATTAGTATCTGACTTTGCACTCCCATGGACTGTAGCCCACCAGGTTCCACTGTTCATGGGATTTTCCACACAAGAATACTGTTGTGGGTGCCATTTCCTACTTCAGGGGATCTTCATGACCCAGGGAGCGAATCTATGTTTCTCGAGTCTCCTGCATTGGCAGATGGATTATTTACCACTGAGCCACCTGGGAAGACAGCAGTGTCCAGGATGATTAAATATGCACATAAAATACAGGAGGAAACAAAGGGTAAACTTACCGACTCTCTGTGTGTGTGTGTGTATGTGTGTGTGTGTGTGTGTGTGTGTGTCTGTCTGTCTGTCTGTTCAGTCCTGTCTGACTTAAAAGCCAAATCAGTGATAGGAATTTTGATAATAATAAAGCCGTATGCAATATCCTTCGTCCCTGTCCTTTGAGATAAAAGTATTTTGCTTTAGTCTCCTAGGCCTCCCCTGAGTCTCAAAAGGCTGACTCACGAGCTAGTCAATAGGAAATATGAAGATGTAGAAATGAAGAAAATAGTTGTTGAACTGGAAACCAGTAACAATCTAGACTATAAATACAGAATTAGAAGCAGAATCACCAAGCTTCTAATTCTCTGAAAGATGTAGATTAGAAGTCTGACACACATTCCTATGTTGTTTTTACAGGAAGCAGATCCTCACCAGATGAAAACTTCTGTCTGCAACAACTTAGATGTTGGACTGGTTTAAACCAGAAGGCTGATGATGCTTAAAACTTCACCTTGATACCAACCAATAAGATAATTTTGCATAATCCCACACCCTGCAGCTCCCTCCCTCACACTGCCTTTACTGCCCCTTCCCTGAAATTATTGGGGGACATTCTGAGCATTAGTAACCCTTTCTCCTTGCTAGGCCCCCCCATAAATACTGCATTTTCCTTTCCCATAACCCAATGTCAATAGATCGGCTTTTCTGTGCATGGAAAAGTGGACCCAAACCAAATTTGGTTCAGGAGCAATAAAAGTCAAGGAAATCTCCAATAATTGAGATTTGAAAGATAAGTTTTTCAAAAAGCATGCACACGAAAGAGAAGAAGGTTGAAAGCCATAGATATAAGATGAGAGGCATCCCAGGGCCATTAATGATTGTATAATCAGAAAACAAAGGAGAAAGAAGTAGATAATGAAGTAAATCATAGCAGAACATTTTCTTGAGTTTAAGTTTCAAAAAGTCTATCTATCTTGGCTAATAAAAATGACTCACATTCAGAAAAATCTTTCTCAAATTAAAAACCTGTTGTGGAGAGGGAGGTGGGAGGGGGGATCGGGATGGGGAACACATGTAAATCCATGGCTTATTCATGTCAATGTATGACAAAAACCACTACAATATTGTAAAGTAATTAGCCTCCAACTATTAAAAATAAATGGGAAAAAATAAATAAAAAATAAAAATCTATTGTGGTGATGAAAAAGACAAAATTCTGAAACAAATTGAATGTAGAGGGAATGAAAGATGGTCAGATACCATTTACTTTCTCAGAAATTCAAAAAAGAGTAGTCAGACAAAGGTAAAACTTTAAAATTTCTAAGAGAAAATTACAACTATACTTTAATAATCAACATTTTGAGAACAAAATAAAATTTATTTTCAACATGTAGGAAATATTATGTAGAAAAATAAATGTTGATATTGAATAATAAAATAAAATAAATTATCCTTATCCTTTTAAAGTTGACAACACAAATATAAAAAAATACAGAAAAAATATCATTTTAAAATAACACAGTTACGTAATATTTTTCCTATAGCTTTTTTTTTTTTTTATTAGTTGGAGGCTAATTACTTTACATCATTACAGTAGTTTTTGTTATACATTGAAATGAATTAGCCATGGATTTACATGTATTCCCCATCCCAGTCCCCCCTCCCACCTCCCTCTCCACCCGATCCCTCTGGGTCTTAGAATGATTAGCTTCTTTGTATTGAGTATCAAGACTTACAAAGTTTGGTATTTACTATTAAATAAATGTTGCTATATTGAGAAATTGAAGAGATACAAAGTCCAGAAATAGATTCATGTAGATACTTGATAAATGAAAGTACACCACTGCAAAGCAGAGAGAAATAATTGATTTGGGTTCAATTAGATAGCCAAAAAATAGTAATAATAATAATTTTAATCCTTCCCTCATTTCATATTCAAACATTAAGTTGTAGGTACATTCAAAATTTTAGAAGGAAAAGTACTTAAGCTTTTTGGGAAATGTAGAGAAAGTCTTCTTAAGTCCCCAAAAGTACTA